CTACATCTCTTGATTTCTCCCCAGTTGCCGTATTCTTATATCTCGTGTACTGGTCTACAGTCTCGCACAGATGGCATCACGAAGCCCGAGCGAAGAAGCTTCTAAACCGGCGCCGTTTGGCAACTTCCCGCAGGACCCGTCTGAATTCGACAGCGACCCCAGGATTTCCTTCTCGAAGCTGGACAACAAGTTTATCCTGGAGACTGAAGACGGACAGGAATTTGAATACGATACGGTTTTAAAACGATGGATCCCGACGGTGTGTGCGCGCTTCCTCTGCAGCTGGTCGATTCCCCTTGTATCTTGCGATCGTTGAACTCTTACCTTTTCTGTCTCCCTCTTGTTATGAGTTCCCTCCCCCCCACGCTGTATTTTCCCACTTGCCAAGTATCGTATCTGGAGCACAGCGTTTCATTGCAGATCCACTGCGATCGCCGTTGCTACATGGGTCTTGGTCGGTTCGTGAAACTGATTGTGTGGTTGGCGCGACATTTCCGCGCCCTTGGGTATTCAGGTCGACGATGACTTGCTCCAACAGCAGCAAGAAGCCTACAAGATTCAGGGGGTGGACGAAAATGAACAAGTCACTGCGCAACAATTGAGGAAGAAGCGGAAGCAGCAGGCCAGCGGGGATGAGGTCAGTGCAGCAAGCGATATGGCCTTGCAATCTATTCTTGTAGCTACAGTGACTGACTATATTTAAATCGCAGAATAATGGTCAAAAGCCGAAGAAACAGCGAGTGAACACCGCCGTGTTTGTCACATCTATTCCCCTTGACGCCGAATTCGATGAGATCCGTGACGTCTTCTCCAAGTGTGGTGTCATCGCCGAAGAGATTGACAGTGGCCGGCCCCGAATTAAGATGTATATGGATGAAAATGGCAAGTTCAAGGGTGAGGCTTTGATCGTGTATTTCCGGCCGGAGTCTGTCAACCTCGCCATACAGATGCTGGACGAGTCAGACTTTAGGTTAGGGGTGACAGGCCCGCATGGACCGATGAAGGTCCAGGCTGCGGATTTCTCGTTCAAGAGCCAACAAGAGGCACCGACAAAGACCAGCATGAGGGATAAGAAGAAGATCATCAAGAGGACCCAGAAACTAAATAGGTCTGTCTAAAGGAACCCGCAGGACTTGACGAGTTCTGGACTGACGCGGTTGCTAGCAAACTCGCTGATTGGAGTGACGACGAGCCATCAAATTTGACGGACACGAGCTCTAGGCTTGAGAAGGTTGTCATACTCAAACACATGTTTACTCTGAAGGAGATCGATGTATGATTCCCATTCAGGCCGCTTATGGATTGCAGTGATACTCACCCTTTGTAGGAGGACCCAGCAGCGATCCTCGACATCAAGGATGACATTCGGGAGGAGTGCTCCAAGTTAGGTGAGGTTACGAATGTCGTTTTGTATGATAGAGAACCCGACGGAGTGGTCAGCGTTCGTTTCACCGACCCTGAAGCCGCCAGACAATGTGTTAGAGTATGTTATGTCGGCTCATTTTATTGCTACATCATAACCATCGCAAAGCTCTATTCTCTAACCAGTTTCTAGGTCATGGATGGTCGCTTTTTCGCCGGCACACGCGTCGAAGCCTACATTTCAGATGGGAAACAGAAGTTCAAAAAGAGCAATGAGAGGCGGGCAGCTCTTGAGGATATGGCGGAGCGAGGTCTTGAGGCCGAAGACGAGGAAGAAATGGAACGGTTGGACGAATTTGGGACCTGGCTGGAAAGTTCCCATGTGGTGGAAAATACTGCCAAGTAGTGGCTTCTTGGGGAATTGGCACTTCTTAAACCTCTTTATCCGCCTAGGTCTTGTATCCGTGCCAACTGAATAAGCGCTGAAGGTGGCCATTGTACTGTATTATAGCAGATTATGTACTCTGTACATCTAAGCCAAAAGAAACGGCGGGAATGGCCATGCTGACATGAAGACATGACGACATGATGATTAAATGGGGTTCACGTTGCTAGAACTGACAATTAGTATTGAAACAGACCCTCTCTTACTTATCGACACCCTTTGTTTAACTGCCAGCATGTTGGAATGACTCCAATTCATGGTTCGCGGTTGTTGTCGCTGTCTCAACTGTGGTTCGTTCCAGTGCGGAACGGCTGCTGACTGGTGTCCCGTGATAGAAACCGCGCTAGACCACGTTTGACCGTAGCTCCCCCTGATTTATTTACCTTACCAAAAGCAAATGTTGACTTGTTGTCTGTTGATCCCTGAGAGACCAGCCCGCACAACGAACAACTCCTTCTCTCCTCACCGCTAAACTTCAACCCAACTCCCTTTTCCCTTTCTCCATTCTTCCTCTCCGACCCCATTTCTTCGACGGTCTCTTATTCTCTTGTCCACTTTGAACTTTCCTATTCCATCTCCTTTTTACCAATCCCACCTTTCTACAGTAACTCTCCGCCAGCAAATCATCCACAATGCGTGAAATTGTATGTTGTGCCTAACCCCCCCTGTTCCCGTCAGGAGACGCGTCGATTTGGTTTCTCCCTAGATAGAAGAACCCCACTTGTTCCTCAAGAATGCGGATCAGCTAACTTTTTCTTTTTCATTCTACAGGTTCACCTCCAGACCGGTCAGTGTGTAAGTACTGCCCATTGTGGTGAGGGACTGTTATGGGAGATGCGTAKGGATGGCGTTTGCATTGAGCGGAGACTAAATTCGACTCTTGGTGATAGGGTAACCAAATTGGTGCTGCTTTCTGGTATGTCTCGACGCCAATGCTTGGATGATGGGAGATTAGGACCTGTCATCTTAGCAGGCTATCCTCCATGGATTTAGCTTCGCTGTCATGGGTATCAGCTAACAGATTTACAGGCAGACCATCTCTGGTGAGCACGGCCTTGACGGCTCTGGCCAGTAAGTTCGACCTTTATCCTCCCAATTGAGAAAGCGGGGGAATCACGAAAGGCAAGCAGGAAGAGGACGCGTGTCTGATCCGGGATAATAGCTACAATGGCTCCTCCGATCTMCAGCTGGAGCGCATGAACGTCTATTTCAACGAGGTGCGTGGATGAAACTCTCGACTCTACATTACTTCGGCAACATCTCACGCTCTGACTCACTACTAGGCCAACGGTGACAAGTATGTTCCTCGTGCCGTTCTGGTCGATCTCGAGCCCGGTACCATGGACGCTGTCCGTGCCGGTCCTTTCGGCGAGCTCTTCCGTCCCGACAACTTCGTCTTCGGCCAGTCTGGTGCTGGTAACAACTGGGCCAAGGGTCACTACACCGAGGGTGCCGAGCTGGTCGACCAAGTTATCGATGTCGTCCGTCGCGAGGCCGAAGGCTGTGACTGCCTCCAGGGCTTCCAGGTCACCCACTCTCTCGGTGGTGGTACCGGTGCTGGTATGGGTACCCTTCTGATCTCCAAGATCCGTGAGGAGTTCCCCGACCGAATGATGGCAACCTTCTCTGTTGTTCCCTCCCCCAAGGTTTCCGACACCGTTGTTGAGCCTTACAACGCTACCCTCTCCGTTCACCAGCTCGTTGAGCACTCCGACGAGACCTTCTGTATCGACAACGAGGTATGGGTGGATTGATTATCCAGAAAACAGCGCGGAGACTGACTGGTTCACAGGCTCTGTACGACATTTGCATGCGCACCCTTAAGCTCTCCAACCCCTCCTATGGTGACCTGAACCACCTGGTCTCCGCCGTCATGTCCGGCGTCACCACTTGCCTTCGTTTCCCTGGTCAGCTCAACTCTGATCTGCGCAAGCTGGCCGTCAACATGGTTCCCTTCCCTCGTCTGCACTTCTTCATGGTCGGCTTCGCTCCTCTGACTAGCCGTGGTGCTCACTCTTTCCGTGCCGTCTCCGTTCCTGAGTTGACCCAGCAGATGTTCGACCCCAAGAACATGATGGCTGCTTCTGACTTCCGCAACGGACGTTACCTCACCTGCTCTGCCATTTTGTATGTTGCTAGACCCACGAACATTATGCAGGATCTCTTTACTGACCATGATTCAGCCGTGGTAAGGTTTCCATGAAGGAGGTCGAGGACCAGATGCGCAACATCCAGTCCAAGAACCAGAGCTACTTCGTTGAGTGGATTCCCAACAACATCCAGACCGCTCTCTGCTCCATTCCCCCCCGTGGCCTCAAGATGTCCTCCACCTTCATTGGTAACTCCACCTCCATCCAGGAGCTGTTCAAGCGTGTCGGTGATCAGTTCACTGCTATGTTCCGTCGCAAGGCTTTCTTGCACTGGTACACTGGTGAGGGTATGGACGAGATGGAGTTCACTGAGGCTGAGAGCAACATGAACGATCTGGTCTCCGAATACCAGCAGTACCAGGACGCCTCCATCTCGGAGGGTGAGGAGGAATAGTAAGTTTTCCCAAATCTTTTGCAGGGTACGTATGCTGACTCTCCGCAGCGGCGAGGAGGAGCCTCTTGAGGCTGAGGAGTAAATTATTTCTCTCTAGCCTTTCAACGACGTGAATTAAGATCTGTTCACAGTAATACCCCTGATACATAAGTCTACTTTCTCTCTGGCCTTGGCCTCGCTCACAGGCTGCTGCTGCCATACTGGAATATCTTGCTCGAGCGTTTTTTAATCTTCCTGTTCTTAATTTCTTATGGCCGCCAGGGCCTCTGAAAGTATTGGACTCAAATAGTACAAAGTTCAAAAACATTGTCTGCAATCGTTAGTCAATGGTCTACCGGGGCAGAATAGAAATAACTTGAGTAAATTGTATGAAGACCAAACCGAAATCTGTTTCTGGCAATATGATAAAAATTTTCGTCCAAAAATCATTCGTGTCCACTACTGCTCCCCTTCTATCGGAAGACCAGTTTGTGTCACCGTTAGCAGAGCGACATCAATTCATAAAAAAAATTGTACGACATCTTTCCAGGACAATCGGCTAGCCGCAGAGAGTGGGTATATTGGCACATTTAGAAAGCACATGGCGCCATCCCTTTCGAGCACACGACGGACGTGACGCAAACAGGCCAACTACAGGACCGGTCAAATCTCAAATGAACGGACACTTCCCCGTCCTCGAGATTTTGAGCTCTTCCATGATCTTCTCCATGGTCTGTCGGCCCTTCCCTTCGAAGTATTTTGGCCCCACGTCGGCAGTGTAGTAACCCTGCGGGTAGTACTTATCGCCCATGTCGCCAGGAAGCGGCTTTCCCAGAGCCCAGGTGAGCCAGGCGGTTGGGCCCCAGCGGTTCCAGAAGGTTGGCTTGACGTAGTAGGGGGCTGCGTCCCACTGGGTGATGAAGACGCGGTTGTGCTCGTCTGGGTTGTCTTTGTAGGGTTCGTAGCGCAGGAAGTACGGACGGGGGAGTGCGAGGTAGCGCATGACGAAGCGGCGGGCGCGGAGGAGAAAGGAGAATACGTTGGCGTAGGCGGGTGGGGGAGGGTCATACCTTGTTTTAGCGTGGCGAGTTAGTTTTGTTGGGTTTCTGGGGTGAGAAAGGCGGATGAGATAAAGATGGATATGCTTACAGCATGGCTTTCCGTAGGCGATCGTCCATCATGAACGAGACGAATTTCAGCCCGATATGCTGCAACGGGCCGGGAATCATGTACACCAGCACAGCGGTGGTCTGGTCGGCCGTCTCGCGGTTCTTCATGTCCGGAAACATGCTTCGGACTTCGTAGTCATCGCTCCAGGCCATGATCTCCTCCAGCCAGTGGAGGCCGTCGCGGAACCCCGTCTTGCTTGACGGGAGGTTCTCGTAGCTGATGTCCATTCCGTCTCCGATGCTCTTCCAGAAGGTACCGATGGCGCATTTCTCCATGTCGCTCAACGTGCGCCATTCGAACTTCTCGATGAACCGGACGGGCTGGATGGCGAAGAGGCCGAGCGTGTACAGCATGTCGTCTTCTTTGATTTTGCTCGCGGCGCGGTACCCAGAGTGCAGGAAGCGGGTGCGCGCGAGGGCAACGCGGGCGCGCTCTGAGGAGGGGCGATGTCCCATGAATTCCTGGATTAGGGCGCTGGTGTCGGTGTAGCGCTTGAGAGATGTCTCCGGGTTCGAGAATTGGCTCGTTGCTGTCAGGAGGCCCGATATAGTGGGGATGCCGTACGTCTGTTTAGTATCTTAGAAGAACTGCCCGTAACAAGTGCATCAATGAAGAACGAGTGAGTGGCTAACCCTGAAAAGCGCAAATTGTAGCGCTTTGACGTAAAAGAAAGGAAACTCCTGCTGCAGGATGACCCTTTGAATTTCCCACGCTTCGTCATCGGTCATGCGAGCAAGAGACTCGCGGGTTGGGAAATTGTACTTGCGATGGAGCCATCGCATCTTGCGGAAACGGAGAAAAGAGCATAGCACTGGATATGCTGCAAGGCCAGCTAGGATATAGGGGGCCAGCCAGCCAAAGGAGACGTGTGATACATCAGTGGTGATAATTGCCAATGGGCCAGTCTTCACCCCTGCTGCAAGTTGCTCCATGATGCTCTTCATCTCTTCCACTTGTCATTATTGACACGAGAGATCATGAAGATAGTTCATGATTGGAGCCCAGTAACTTCAGGTAGGCTAAGAGCTAAGGGAGCTAAAACTAACAGGAGCGGGGTTGGCTTGGTGAATGTGGTTAGTGTAAGGAGTAGACTAGCTAGTGGTCTAGGCAGCTCCTGAGCCAGCCAGCTCCTTGACCAAAACTGTTCCAATCAGCCCTGGATACAGAGAACAGGCAGATGTACATACCGCCCGCCCCGGGCCGCCCTACGACAGTTCGAGAGCTCTCCGGAAGCGGAGGTGATTGCGATCGACGGCGACTAGGACGGACATAGATCAATAATAATGATAACCACTACTACATTTACTCTGGACTCTAATGTGATCGAGGACATAGTCCAAAGCCAGCTAGGGTGTTCTGCATGTCAGATTCTTAAATGGGAGAAGAAATCAGATGACTTCTCACCAGCCTAACTTAGGACACCCTTCACTCTTCAGCTCTTCTTGATCTCTTCCCCCGCACTTCACCACGATCCTCGGTTTATTGATAAGGATCCCCTCCACTGTTTCATCCTTGAAGCATAGAAATGGAAGCTGCGGCCGATATATGCTCGTGTTCCGTTTAGAACCAGACGAGTGGCTTCTGTGGTGTAATACTCTACGACGTCGCGGACTTCTGTACTTTGAAGCACACAAGGAAATCACAACGTGAAATTGTTCAATCTCGACTTTTACAATGTATTCCTTGCCCATCCATCTAATATCTTTCGACACAACTTCTATGCTACCAGCGGAACTGAGACTAACATGTTTGTACAGGACTAGGATGGGACACCTCTGCGTCGGATCCAATCTTGATAGATACAACGTTCGACGTCTATCCAGTTGACTTGTGGAGACCAAGTTGTCTACCGCATCAACGACCAAGCATCTGAAGCTCCAACAGTCTCAGAGCAGGAAAAGATATAGCCGTGAACCCCAGGCCGAGCCAGATGCCAAGATCACAACCTCCTGTGGTCGCAGTCGCAACAGGCCCAGTGTAGTAAACTTGATCCTGTTTGGCGCCCGAGCTGTCAGCAAATATGGTCTGTTGCAGGCGGCTTTGAGAGAAACAGAGATGGGTCCTATCACTTACCATACCCACGATGGCTCCTGCCCATCCGATCAGGAAGGAGACCCCAGCAGCAACACCCACTGGGAGTTTCCGCCAGTCATTCCATATAGTCCAATCGTATCCTCGACACCGGTTGAAGAGCACATCTTCCTCGACAGCGATGGTGAACCAGATGACGATCCAGTATCCAATCAGAGGGAGGAAATTCTTGAAGATCTGATACAGGAAATTCCTTCCTCCGATGGCACATGCTGTATAACTCACCGTACTTGCAATGGTGAAGATAGGACGCGGAATTTTCGACCAGAAGTCTCCGAGCATTTGAAAGTTCATTGCCATCGAATATGATCCTGGGCCATTGTTGGAAACCACCGTCAGCACATTAATGAACGCGCAAATCTTGCCAAACACTCCGAGTCTGTCATAGCCAGCCATCAACAAGCTTCCCGGAGTTCCGTCATAGAGTGCCTGCCACCTGGCACTGCTGGCAACACCGGTTCCCAGGCCAACTCCCAGGAGAAGACTGATCATCATCGCTCCGCACCCTCCAATAGTGGTCACCGCCCAAGTCTTCCACGGCCTGACCGTGGATGGGTAATACACATAAAAGTCTGCAGCGGAGGGCGCCCACGAGAGAGCTGACGACATGCAGAGTGAGAAAAACCCTAAGCGCTTTGCGTTTATCTCATCGGGCGACCCGACGGACTTTGTATGGAGGTCAAACTGTGGTATTGCTGATCCCGCCAATATGGAGAATGTGAGCAATTGAGGGAGCCAAGCGAATCTATGTCCTTGAGTCAGCCTTGCACTTTGCTATTTTGCTTCAGCACTGTGCGCAAGGGGTAATACCTCTCATATATATGGAATATGCGCATACCAAACGTCGCCATGATCCCACTTCCAAGGGCGACAATGATTATTCCAACAATGACGGATACAGATCCTCCAGAGAGCTTAGACAGGATCTGACCCCCTACCATGGCATTGATCATTGCATACCCGAGGTTGGTCAACACGTTCAGCAAACAGCACACTTTGTTGGGGTAGTAACCCATGAAATATCTGGTCATGACCTATAGAATCAATTCGTGAGCCGGGCTCATGCTCAAGTCAAGCAAGTTGGATGATATAAACCCGGATAGGATTTAAAGAAAAACGAACTGATCGGGAAAGTCCATACAAGTGTGCGATTCCCACTCCTAGGACCCCAGGTACTCATATAACCGACTGCCAAACCCCCAGCCAGGTTTCCAAATACGGCGCAGAGGGCAGCGTCCGTGAAGTTCAGATTCATGACCAGTGTTCCTATTGAACCGACAACCATGTGACTTACTGCCATTCCCATGCTGAACCATATCAACAACATGTGAAACGAGTCTGATGTGGTGGGCTTCTGACGATCCTCTGGTGGAACAGGCTCAATCCCGCGGATTTCTAAGTTCTTGATGCTCCCTGCCCATCTTTGATATCGTGATTGACAGACAGTGCTCGAGGATCCGCAGTCCCCCAGCTCTACTTGTGTAACGGTGTGCAAAGAAGGGGACTCGCGCGGCTTCTCAAATTCGGACGCCATGTTGGCTCAGATGAGAACGGACACTGTTCACTCCAAAGGCAGAAGGGCTTAACTCGTCTCCCTCGTCTTTCCTACCAAGGGTACGATTTCCCTCTCTATCTTGCTAGCGCAGTTAGCATCGGTCTTACCATCACAGAATGACAGAGTATGATCAAATCTGCAAACCAACAACGTGAACCTTCCTGATGATCAGAAAGGCTGAAGTATAGGTAGGAACAAAAGGGCGACCGTGGAAGGAGGAGAAGGAGGCAGAGACCTTTTCAGAAGAAATAAACGTGATCTAACTGCTAGGCCATACTGAACTGACATCATTTTGTAAGGACCAAGCGAGTTCGACTTTACAAGGTACGTAATACCTGCACTACCACTGGTAACTTGACATTCCACAGCATCACGGATACCGCCCCGGACGACTACGCATCGGCTGCAGAGTGCCGACCACCGTGGAACAAGCCCGCATGATGAGATCCATGTCGTAAGTCCAATGTCGTTCGTGTCCTGGTCTCCAGGATCAGCATCCACAAAGCAACCCAGGCCACTAGGGACCTAAGGTAGCATCAAACCACATTGAAACAGGGGCATCGGCTCCCTGCAATCAACCCTGGCTATAGTCTCAGTCTCCAACAGCCCCGTTGGGATTCTTTCAAGTTATTATTAAACCGTGAGGGCCAATACGCTTTGAAAAAGCTCCAGAAAGGGACTCCGTTTCGCGCAAATCGTCACGCTACCATGCATGTTAACATACCGTCGGACGTAGTAAGTATTAAGCTCTGCAGATGCGCCGGCACGGTATGCACTAGCAACGTAAGGAGAACACCAGGACGCCTAGGAGAGGTTGGTACATAGTCTGCTTCGCCAAAAGTGCATAGCATCGCAGACTGCACAAAACCTGACCTTCATTACATGCTCATGGTACTTGCCTCGGACCACTTTCTCTGATTTCGTGGACTGAGAATGGGACACTCTCCCCCGTATACCTCCATACACGTACTGTTCAAATTGAAAAGATAACCTGCACAATATCACATGAACCTAACAACAACACCAAGCAGCAGTCCATCCGATCCGTCGTCCTGCCAAAGAAGAGAACTCACTTTGGACAAACCAGGGAGGTTGAAGGACGCTCCTCGGCAGAATTCTTGATTTCGCGCACTGATACCGTCTGTGTCATGTTACCCAAGGTATCTGATAGTATGTAGATACTAGATAGCCACATTCTTCCCCCTTTCCTGGATCACAAGTACAGACTACAACGCAGTGCGCACGGAGCTCGGGCAGACTGGATACTCCGTAGTTCATACTCGGGCCCAACTCCCAGTCATTTATTCTTCCATCCTAGTTTCGTGCGGGCACTTTTTGTCTACTAGTAGCGTATCTACTGATGATATTTGACTAAAGTTTCTCGACAACAAAAGAGCAACTATCATTGGTATCTGTACGAGGCAAAGCCAGGAGGAAGTAGCAGTGGCAAATCTATAGAACAAACAGCAAACAAAGAGACCGCACCGCTTTGCGCCAGGCCCAAAACCCCCAATGCAGGAACGACTGATCTATCAGACAAATCTGAGATGAGTAAGCAAGTAAGCGGAATTTTCAGGATCCCGGAGCCGCCCCCAGTATAAGAACACAAGACATCGGCAAGTAAGCAAAGGGATATTAAGACAGGGGGTGAGAATTTCGTTTCCACAACATTGCAAAGTCTAAGAGCGGACTCCCCCAGACCATCCGAAGGCAGTAATATGAGACATCGAATATTGTGCAAAGCCGAAAACTGGAAAAAGACGGGACAGTGAGCAAGCGCTTCAAACAACGAGCAAGCAAAAGTCTATGAGTACATCGTATTTGGTCTCGACCAGGAAAATGAAATGCGTATGATGAAGGATGACTAGGCAGGGATGTCATCTAGCTCTGTCGCGAGCGGCTCTGGCTAGATCGGGATCGCCCTGAGGTAGACCGTCTGCTACGGCTGGAGGGTGCACGAGCAGGAGGAGCGTGTTCAAAGTATGGGATCAGGTCGGGGTTCTGACTCGGGGGAGACTTGGAAGTAGATAGATAATCTCCGACGAGACGCTCGTCGGCTGCGGTGTCTGGGTGGATTTCAATACCCTCTTGGTTATCCAGCCCCCCGTGAGGGCTGCTCGCGTTGAAGCCCGAGTCATTTTCGCCTGGCGCTCTTTCAATCGGAGACCATCCTGCAATACTGCCAGCAACCACACCGGCCATGGCGGCAGCGGGTCCGAAAGCAGAGTTAGAGCGAGATCGGGTGCGCTTTCGTGAGCGCGACTCGGGTGTTGCAGGCTGGGGTGAACTACCGCCATT